ATTCCTTTTTGCAATCAATGCATATCAGCGTTGCAGCGATTGCTTGATAACACACATGAGTGCCGCAATGGCTACGGAGTGAAAAAATTGCCACGTTAGAATGCAACTGCATCCTGGATGGTGATGGCCTCCAGATTGCTTGAGTTGAAGGTCAATACAATTGACTTCACACTCTCGCACATTAAAGCATGATCCGTCGCTTCACCTCGGGTGCCAACCTTATTAGCGTGAGGCAAGTGACGCTGTCACTCAGCATATACGTGCTGGCACAATTCACCATCCCACCTGGCAATTGCACACTTTGCTGTTGACCCATACGGGCTTCGCCTCTGATAGCAAAATCACTGACATGAGCAAGAAATGCAGAATTCGTGCGTGGGTGAGACGCAGGCGATTTCTCCACTGCGGCACGTTCCCTCACTGACTTTTACGTGATGGTTGTGTGAAATGACTAAGGCCGACTGGAAACAGAGTTGGACGAATCAGATTACACATAACAAAATAAAGTTGGAAGTAAGAAAGTGCTGCTTGATGGGAGAAATCGCCGCAATCACAGATTCATACATACTGTTAGGAATCATCTATGGTCGGCAATGTTAGACATGCACACATACGTGCACGCATACTTCCACTGTCCGTGTCCGTGTGGGGCCTCCAGTTCCACAAGAGGAGGCGGTGGAGGTTGAATGTGCGTACTTGCGTCAATGTCAAGCTCGTAGATCCACCCTCGATCGACAATCCTCTTGTTGGACTTGCCGTAACATGGCTCACCAACGGTTCCACAATTGTTACTGAAGCGGAAACTAGGGTAAGGCCGCAGACACGGTGTGCGTCCACCCCACCCGCGACATCAGAAACACGATTCGATCAGCCGTCTGTGCACTTATTTATACCTCAGCACGTCCTCAAACTGCATCCAAGCCGCGAAACACAAGGTCGAGCACACCTATTGGCTGACATAAGTGTGGGCTTAGGAGACGTCAATGTTGTTCCTGCCGCGTGTCTGCATGATATTCCCCACTAATCCAACTGCGAGCTGCAGTTCATTGGCACCGATAAACACATCACCTCATATGTGATGCCAACAGACGTGTCCTTACTCATTTATCAAGGCTCTCGATTCATGTGAGCCTCTGGTCGTCTTGTGGCAGCCGAAGAATGGAGACGGATGATGTGTAAGTGTGCACGCTCGCTTGAGGTCATGCTTTGGCTGCGCACCTGTTGTTTTCACTACTGACTTATA